GTAACAACACGTGAGATTTGCTCATATACACATGCTTCGGATCAGGTCACGTAACATAATAAGTAAGACACCAAACAAAAGTGGCAGATGGCTTTATTGAATTGAATATGGAGTGTCTTCCCATAATTTTACTTTATTTTATTTAATACAATATAGTGTTTATTAAAAAGTTGTTATCAATATTAAAGTGTTATTGCGAATTGCGGAAGTACTCTATTAATGATAATGATACGTGTAAATATATTTTTATCACTCTCACAAATGCAGTACTTGAAATACGTAAGCACTTAAGGGTTTTCAAGTATTCATTCTACATTTACTAAAAAGCTAACAGCCCCTTCAGATGATCATTATTTATCATGTACATACTTGCGAATTCCTCGATTTTCGGTCGAATCTGTGAGTCCCCCTGTTTATTAGAGTATATACTAAAAGTTAACTCGTTACAGGTAGAAAGTAACAATCAAGTATTTTTAGCTCGTGACAAAAGTGTGTCTCCACATCATTTGATATCGTAGAACGAAGCTCCGATAGCGATTTAAATATGTTTATACTTTTACACTGCACGCTCCTAACATCTAAAATCCTGGTATTTTATTGCTTACCAGTATAATCCCATACGAAATACATGGTTGTATAATTGCACCAAATCTCTGTTGATGAGGTTTAAAAAACTAGATATGATTTTTAGGATTTAAAAAAAAATTTGGTGATTCAAAAACCAGACATAAAATATTGGCCATTTATTTTGTGAACACATATCTATATAAAAGTTTTCCCATTTAAAATCTGAAGTGAAAATAAATTTTTGATAATTTAAAAACGGGACATAAATCATTATTCATATAGAAACGTATAAATTTTGTATTCCTTAAAAATTGCAGATAAATATTTCGTGGGTAAAAATATTTTCATACATTGTTTGTATCAAATTAAACATAAATTGTTGGTGATTTGAAATCCGCCAGTCTCAATAACCAAAAATTCAAAATGCATGTCCAATTTTAGAATGCCCATTAATTTATGTTCAATTTTCAATTGTATAAAAACGTCGAATTTCTGAATGATCCATATAAAATTCTTACAAGTGCCACTGTAGTAAGGTTTTTTTTTAGCTTGGAGTTGTGTCGTTATAGCTGTAAACCGTATGTACATTTTCTTGCCTTTGAAAACTGGATATAAGTACTCGTATATCGTTATTTAAAATCTGAGCAAACATTTTTAGTAACTCGAAAACTTTACATAAATTTCCACATCATAAAAACCGGATATAAATGTTTAGCCATATCAAAATTGGACATAAAAATTTACTGTGGTGTCGCTTATAAAAGGTGCATTCATTCACGTCTATTTAAAAAAAGTCCAATAAGTGATGTCCAATTTTGTATATAAAAAAATTATGTCCAATTTTTATATATCTATCTATATACATATCTATCAACTTTTTAAATAACCAAAAATGTAAAAATCCATGTCCCATTTCAAAATGTCCAAAAATTAATTTCAAATTTGAAATTGCCATTAATGTAGGTTTTTTAATTACCAAAATCGTGTACAATTTAAATGCTCAAAAATGCATGTCTAATTTTTATATGACCAAAACATTATGTCTACTTTTTACCTTACATTTCCAGTGACCAAAAGTATATGTCCAGTTGGAAATTACCAAATGTTTATGTCTAAATTTTAAATGACCGAATCTTATGTCCTATTTTTAGATGACCAAATATGCATGCCCAGTTTTAAATTTAAGTAGTTATAAATAGGTTTAAAGTTATGTACGTATGCATGTATATATGTACATAAGTACTTTCTGTCCATACTCTCTAACTCATCATTGATTTTATGTTTGTATAAGTATAATTACACTCAAATCGCAGATAACAAACACCAGAAGTAGTAAAACAAGGTAGAATTGTCGTCTGGCAAAAAATTCGCCCACAAATAATTTGCTAGTTTTTATGACTTAATCTAAATTTCGTTGTGAAATAAACAATGCGATAAGGTCTTGGGTACAATGTGGTAATCTTTATTGAACCAAATACAACATTAATTGTTTATAGAATTTCGCAATAATTTTGCAGACACATCAGTTAAACGTGAAATGTGAAGGGACAGGTAACTCCGCCAAATAAATAGTACTATGCTGTATTACTCTCAAAGATATTGCGTCAGGCTGGGGTTTTTGCAAAACTCTTTACTTAATGTAGAACCTAGTTACGTCACTTGAAAGATTAAGCTCACTTGCTCTGTGTTGAAAAAGCACGGAGGGAGAACAGGTAATTTTTAATTTATAAGATTTTATGAAAGAACTACTAATTTTTAGTATTTTTTTGTTAGCCCGTTATAATGAAGAATTGTGTATGTTTTTAAATTGAATTTTACATATTCCTTTGCTCTTAGTACCGCGAATTACTTCTTATACTCCCAATCCTTGAGCTTATACTTTTATTACCTATTTGACATTCATAAAAAATCCTTTTTCTCACATTTTAATACTTTTCGTCCATTTCCTTAGCTGTTTATTGCTTTAGTTCTTTTAAGTTAATTTTTCTCTCTGTTTAATTTTCTCGTCACCTCATTATTTTTCCTTCATCGCCTTTTCACAATGGTGACATTTATTATTTTTATTAGCTGTTCAGCCAATTATACTGTCACTCATTATTATAGTTTAATTAAAACTTCTACTAGGCGTTATGGCTCGTCTTCTGCTTATTAAATATTTTGCTTGTTTTTCATTTCACGCTCTTTGGTTATCATATTATGGCAATCAATGAGGATGAAATTATTATAAATAGCTGCAGTTACTAGGTTGGAGAGGTGAGAGAAGATGGTGATTTTTAAGTGACTGACTAGAAAATATCTCGAAATAAAATATCTGTATAAGTGCGTTATTTAGATAAAAAAACACACCAAAGTGAATGCATTTCCGAGGATCCCTCCTTCAGACTTACCATGCCAAGGGCCAATCCAGGTGACTAGAACAGGCAGTGTCTTCCAGGCAGAGGTCACAGTCCTTTAAAACGATGTGGTGACTTTAGGGACTGAACATTTGGGAGTGGATAGTATGAAACAAAAGCCTTTAAGTCTTTCTTTCACAGAAGAACCAGCTTTACCTCATTTTTGCTCTAAAACAAAGTGCCTTGTTGAGGCTGTGATAAATCATGTAGAGGACTGTGCTCGACGGCTTCCAGAGTGGCCAGAGTCAAAGCTTTATTTCGGCGGGCTAAGGAAAATATTACGCGTTCTTTAAATTAAAATAAAATCTCTAAATCAACATGGCTTGTGCCTAAAAAATATACGACACTCTGCGTTCTGCAGTTCTGCGTAAGAGTACCTGTGATAATCCTTATTTTCTATTTAAGGAAGTTATTTAATAAAAAGCCTTCACGTCTTCAGATAATCTCATCCCGGAACTAGAGCTGCTGGCCACAGTGCCATTTGGCTTCTCAGAGTCGCCTATACATCACTGAATAGTTCTCGCCTGGTTATGCCCTGTCAAAATGGAGTTACTCCAGGTTCTATTTTAAATTTCTTCTCGAAAACAACTACCTTTTCCATAGACTAGTCGGAGCTGGAATTATACCTTGTGCATGATCCCAGATGATAAAACCTTTCCAAGGCAGTTTCTTATGAACTCTTTGAGGGTATGCTTGGCTTTTCGAGGGTATTTTAGCCCTTAAAAACTTCACATAAAATTCAATAGCCGTTCGGAGGCGGCGTCAAACTGTAGGTCTCTTTATTTTGTGTAAGAACATCAGGACGCACAGCACAAATTGGTGGAGAAGCTCCGCCAAACAGTTAGCAAAAGTGTAAGCGCAAAAATATTATTAGGGGTATTCACGATCCGATGGATACTATCTACCATGGTGCATAGATAGCATAAATAATATGATTGCCTAATTTTTTTGTTGTTTGATGTGAATACCCCTATTATTATTATCAGCATGGTACATAGATAGCATAAATAGCATGATTGGATAATTTTGTTGTTGCTTCATTTATTCACCGGATCGAGAATACCCCTATTATAATTATTATGCTTGACTTTCTGCTCTATCTTAAGATGTATGTAGTGCTGCGAGCTAGAGAAAAATCTCCAGTGCTTTCATACCTCTGAGTATGGTCAACATGAATTTTCTACAGCAATTTGGAGTCCAGGCTTATACCAAGATACTTCAACTGAAAGATTTATTCCGCAGATCTGGAAGAGTTGTTTTCGTAGTAGTAGCTAGTATATGTAACCGGAATTGCCAACACCTACATATAGTTGCAAAGACTATCTATACAAGTTCGTCCACTTCTTGGCTCCACAGGTGATAGTATATCTCCATGTGGGTATCCCTTTGGTGTTTAAAACTGCTCCCCATGCCGCATCAAGTTCTCAAAAGTTATATACATACAATAACGATTATCAGCATAAAAATCGCTGGACTATAGATTTTGAATAAGATGCTATCCAATTGCCAGGTGGAACTTATCCTAGCTTCTGACATATGTATTTTGCCTACTTCTTCTAATTAGAGAATGCTGTGCTAATGGCCTGGCTGGTGAGCCCGTCAATGTCAATTAATTAATTATTCAGCAGCTTGTTGACTGTAATATGGAAAAAAAATATATGAAAATTATATCGACGGCTGAGTGGAGGATCGACCTACCTCGGCACCTGGCTCGAAAACGCCCTATCTCAGAAAACTTTTTAAGAACGCCGTATTTCAGAATTTGATTGAAGAATGCCCTAAACAGAACTTGGTTCAAAATCACCCTCAACTGAAAATATATTGAAAATATGTTGAAATAAAATAAAAAAATTCAATAAAATTCTCAGATAGAGCGTTTTCGAACGGGCTGCCGAAATAGGTCGATCTTCCACTCAGCCGTCCTAAGTCTGTATTTCTAAGTTATTTTCTTCTGTACCAATTCCTATTATTAAGTTGTTTTGCAAATACGTCTCATTTTAATTTAATATCATCTTTCTTCTTTCTTTTCTACTTTCTCAGGTGAGTTTACACCATAAAAGATTGCACCAACGACATTCCTTTGGACAAAGGCAAATCCAACCAGATAGCAGTGAAGTATTTAAAAGATAAATAACCGCTTAGCTAAGCGCTTAACTACATAAGCGCCTAAGCATCTAAGCATTGGTGTGTGTCTGGCATGAGTGGAGCGTTTAAATGCTTACGGCCTGACACGCTACTAAGTGGCGCACTTCAGACGTTGCCAACAAAACTGACACTTCAGAGCGAAAAAAATTCTAAAGATAACCCCGAAGGAGTGAAAAAGAAGAAAAAGAAAATTTAAGTTATAAATGCAAGTATTAAGTAAAAAAATGTTCTAAAACTGTATAAAACTAAATAAATATAAATGTGTAGGTGAATTGCAAAAATTTTTTTTATAAATAAAAGTCAGGTGCGAAGAAATGTTCATCACCTTCGTGCGTTGGTTGCACGCCTTCCGCAGCATCCCTCCACCAGGCTTAGTATTTTCTAAGCCAACTGCTAACACGATTAGCATACATATAATGTATACATAAGTATAAGTATTTGTGTATGTGCCTTTTCTTATCTATATATGGACATGTGTGTGAAGGTCTTCTACGTCTATGACTGCGGTAGTGTGGTGTTTTGTGATATCATTTTAATAATACCTAACAATAATCTGTGGTAAATATTTGTCCTAGCACATTCCAAGCATTTTATTGTAGCACTTTTTTATAGCGTCGACTTTATTTTTATTTTATTCGTACTTGTTTAATCATTTGTTTGCTTAACTTTGAAAACACTTAGCTGCTGTTTGTTAAGTTCTTAGCGAAACAAAAAGAAAAAAATAATAATATTAAAAAAGTAAAATCTTTTAAACTTAAAATGTGGCAGTAATAAGATGTTTAGTAAAAAAGTAGTAGCGTCATTTAAATTTTTTGGTACCATTTTCGAACACTTAAAGCGCTTAGATGACACTTTGAGATATATTTTTGCATAGAGATATCAAAGGAGAATAAAAAAGCTACTTTATGGTGGACTCGCTTAAATATTTTTATATATGTATTAAAGAGCAGAAAGCACTCGTTTCATTTACGTACATATATAATATACATACACAGATATCTACACCTTTCAAACTCAAATACTTAGGTTTACCTCCGCTTGAAACCAGCAAAATCGGAGCGCTACAACACATACACTTGTGGTCATCTGATTAAGTCAAGTGACATTTTGACCAGTTTTGGCTACTTTTATTTTATTTTTTTAATGTTTATGATTTTCTTATAACAGTCTAGCACGTTAAGTAACCAGTACAATATAAATCCACATATCAATCTTCGTACAAAAATTACAAAAATTACAAAAATTCAACAAACTTAATCTTGTTATTTAGAATTTAAAAAAAGATTGTATGTATGCGGTTTTATATCTAATGAAATTTTAGTAGGTTAAAGTGCAAATTTCAAGACTAGAGAATCGTGTTGATTTTTTTTAATTTTTTTTCTTTCGCTAACGCACAGGTCAAAAGAAGAAAAAAATTTGAAAATTTTACGTTTGAAGAGTTCAATATATTTTTTTTGAATTTTGGCTCTTTTTGACTAAAAATGCTTGTAGCGAACTTTCTAAAAAAATTAAAATTCGTTTTTCAGTTCTTGCGAAATGCAAATTTTTTGAACTTAAACTGTTTTATCATCTTTTTTTTTCTAAAAATACGGTGAAGGTAATTACTTTAGCTAACATTATTTTCTAAAAATACTTTAAGAGACTACTTTTATAAATAAAAAACTTCAGTTTTGGAGGTATTTTCAAATTGGCCCAGCTCACGTAAATCTTAATATTTTTTTCGAAATATTTTGACGCAAGTCTTAAAATATAATAGACTTCATAATTCCAATGGAAAAACAGTACCGATATTTTTTTTTTATGGGGAGTGATGCACTCTAATGTACATACATACCTAAGTATATTCGAAGAAAACTTTTTGTAACATCTAACCGGAGATTGAATTTTTTATATACAAATATTGTGCAGTCCCTGCCATAAAGTATACAAAAAAATTTTCTTTGGAAAATGGTAAACTAACTGCTTACTCTTGACCGAGGTGGTATTTCCTTTCCTGGCCTAAGTGCAATTTTTTTACTACCAAATATGTGATCGCCTACACTCTCACTTAGTCATCATTTTCCTCTTACACTTACTGTACTTAAAGTTCAATTACCCAGCCGAGCAAATATTTTGGTAAAAATTAATTTGTCAAAATTTTGGACAAAGCTATTGACATTTAATAATTTGACAACTCATTAACTGATTAACATTTGAATTGTAGATATGCAAAAATATGGCAAAGTGTATAGAAAGTCCAAATAATTTACATGCATATGTATGTATGTGAAGCTTAAAAAGAGTAAAAAGCGTGGTGAAAAAAACCTACAAGCAATCAAAACAATGCAAAGGGGTACCGGAGATTAAGCATGACTTGCGAAAACAAACAAGGAATGTCATGAAAGTTAGAAATCAAAATATTTGGAGCCTATTACGATTGCTGTAAAGCATAAATAGAAATAGGTTGAGTATTCGAGCTTAATTTTTTTTCTTTTTCATAATCAATCATTTTCTAAAAAAAATACGAATGTCAACTGTACAGCCCAATAAATATTTTTATAGATTTCTGCAACCGCTGTAAAATTTTCTCCTTATTTATTTCGCTGTGCCTTTGTTCATACAATCATGCAAAAAATTGCCTTCAAGCGGCAATTATTCATAAAAATTCCACAGTGATTTGCAAAGGAAAGGTTTAAATTTCGCTCAGTTTTATAAGGGCATAAACCTTAGAAAGACCTTAGGTTAGGTCAAATTAGAGTGGCTACGACTACGCAGAGCACGGATCACACGAAGGGCGGAAGCCATTTGTTTATTTCCCTCCCTTAATAACTGAACCACTGAGTGTGTTTTATATAGCACAAAAAATCGAGAACGTTCGCCGAGCTCAGGTTGGCTAATCAGTCTAAAAAGTTTGGACTTGTTTTGCTGAAGCGGGACAGTGGCAGAGATAATGCACGATGCTCTCCATCCCATTCTCGTGTCTGCAACTGCAGGAAACATCGTCGCTGCAGCATCCCAACCTTTTTCCGTGCGCGCTCATCAGGCAGTGTCCGGTGCTTACCCCGACTAATAATCTGAAAAGAGAAGCGTCCAGCCGAGTGAGTGCTATGGATAGCTATGGATCGCTTTACATACATCAATATTTGGCCAAATTTGCCTGGTAGTGTGTGTTTTCAGGAGGAGGGGGTATGCCCGCATTTTAAGCAGAATTGACTTCAGAAATGTCTGTATCCCTCCTTGCCAGCTTGTCGGCTATGCAGTTTCGAGGAATCGAGGGACCTATACCACAATCAAGCAGCATTTTGATGCCAACTGGTTGAGAGTCTTCAGTTTCAAGGAATTTTTCTTGTCCGAATCTGAGATCTCCCTGCGGTTCGATCGTATTTAACCTTCCCACACTTCAGCTGGCCCAAAATTTGGAGTAGAGATTCACAGGTGAAAGATTTAACATTACTTTCAGAGATTTGATGGTCAGTGCTTCCGTTGTGATCATGGAAGCCGTCTTCTGCACTCGATCCACCTTGGCTCTGGATATTTCTTTCAGCTTAACCAGAATAAAAGCCGTTTTCTAAACAAAATTTGTGTTCAAGGAGCAGATAAATTGTAAAACCTACTTCGAAAAGGGCACTAAATAGAATGAAATTTGGGAAAGGTGGAAAATCTTTACTGTAAAAACGAAGGATATTCCATTTTAAAAATGATCACTAAAATTTTCAAACTAAAAATTCAAATTTTCACTAAAAATTCAAACGATGTAAAGCGATTCATATTGCCATATTTCTTTAAATTGAATTTAAAGTTTAAACAGGTGGCAACCCTCTTAAAAATATAGCAATTATCAACATATTTCGTTAGGCATCATAATTGTAATAATTCACTTATTTAACTAATCAAGTTTAATTATAACTTAAAACAGGTGGCAACCCTTTTTAAAAGTTTTTTGAAATAACGCTACCCCAAAACATATCTTGTTTGATTTGACATCCTTTTTTAATGTTTCATTTAACTTATTGATTTAATTTAAATTGACTTTCAAACAAGTGGCATCCCTATTTAAAAATACATATTTTCGAAACAAATCTTTGTCATACCTGTCTCGATTGACATGTTAATACTATATTTTACTTATGCAAATATAGAGTGGGTCTTTATGACACTTGGTAGGTAACCCTTTTCACAAAAATATTCATTTCTTAGGCCCCATTTGTTAGCCACACATATTGTAATAATGAAGTTTCATTTGGTCACAAAATTAAATTTGAATTTTTAAAATGTGGCATTCTTGCTCAAAATGTTTTCGTAATAAAGTTTTTTTTTTTACTCATCGTATTTGGCATCCATATTGTGAAATTTCTTTGAACTTATAATTGAAAATATAATTTAACTTTTTAAGCAGGTGGCAACCCTCTTCAAAATATATGATATGAATTAATCCAGGACATGAGCTGTCTCCATGAGCTACCACACAAACTTTAACATTTATAACATTAGCAGGATTTCATTTAAATATATTTTCCGAAACTGGTGGCAACCCTCGTAAAAAATATTTTCCGAAGAAATACAACTTTTTTAAAGCCTCCCTCGTTGATATCCATATTAAAATATTTCGTTTAATTTTATAATTAACCGAAATTTTAACTTTTTGAACAGGTGGCAACACTCTTAGAAATAAATTATTCTCTCTCTTTAAAAGGTGGCGGCCCCGTAAGAAAAAATTATGAAATACAACGTTTTGGAACCCCTTTAGTTCGACACCCAAATCGTAGTAATATTTTACTCAACTCATTAATTAATTGTTTTTAACTTTTGAAAAATGTGATGACTCCATTCAAAAAAATCATTTGTATTATTCGGGGTTATACCCCATCTGTGTTCCAAATTTCATTGAAATCCGTACAGCCGTTTTAGCTTGAAAGAGAAACAAACATTTCACATTTACCTACAATCCAAAAAAGGAGGAGGTTATCAGTTCGTCGGATTTTTTTTTTCTTTTTTTATGTATGTTACCGCATAACTTTGGACCACGTCAACCAATTTCGATAATTCGATTCGATTTGCATCGGAAAGGTAGTGTCTCAGAGGTGGTCCCATACTAATTTGGTTTAGATCCGATCATTGGATCATGAAATATATAGATATATATATATATATATATATATATATTAGAGTGGTTCATAAAAAAACTGTAATGAAAAACGAGACACGTGATTTTTTATTTT